GTCGAAGTAAATTTTCCCATAAGGTTCAATGTAATTACCGTTAATCTGTTCTGGCGTCCGCAGACCACGTGTCAGGGGCGGAAAAATGGCTGCTGACCACGCGGCAGGGCGGAAAAAATGGCCGCGGATCACGTGTCGGGGCGGAAAAACGGCCGCAGACCATGTGGAATGGGTGGGAAAATGGCCGCGGACCACGTGGAACAGGAGGAAAATGGCCGCAGACCACGTGGAACGGGTGGAAAATGGCCGCGGACCACGTGGCACGGGCGGAAAAATGGCCACGGACCATGTGGAACGGGCGGAAAATGGCTCGTAAGTCAAGGCAAATTCGTAAGTAGAGGTAAATTTTTGGGGCCGGAACTGATCATATCTTGAAAATTTTGTAAGTAAAGGCGTTCATAAGTAGAGGTACCACTGTAGTCCTCCAAAAACTCTGAGTACCTCAAATTCTAACACTTCTGGAGGGTGACAGGTTGATGAAAGCTATTCTAGATCTTCAAATTACAACCAGTCTTCTCTCTCCTGAGAATATTGTGGACAGCCAAGGAAACAAACAAATGGATCATCGAACAAATCAACCTTGAGACACAAATGGCCAGGCTCAAATTATCCGAACGGCCAGCTTTCCAGAGTAAATTACATTTATTCTATAAATAAATTACATAATATAAATTTATAAATTTTATAATATAAATATAAAACAAATAAATTACAGAATAGATTACAGAATAATAAATGTAACATAGCTTTGTCAAAAAAAATTTAAAAAAACACACCAAACGGCCCACTTTGTGTAAACCAATAATGCATTTTGAATATCACAACTCCAACAATCAGCTGAACCCCTCAATTTCTTTCTCCCTCACCAACCCCTCACCCCACCCCAGCTATCTAAGACGTGAAAAACAATAATTTCTGTGGAATTTATTCTAAATTAGGGATCCCCTCATTTGAGAGGTATCCTTCTGAATGGAAGATGAAGATGAAGCAGTGGAGCTGTCTTGCTTTCGTTGCCCGTTCTGCAACATCTGGATAAAGCAGCCGACGTCTTTGGATTCAGAGAAGCAAGGACGTTCTGTTTTCAGGACCCACTGGTGGCTGCACTCAAGACAGCGCCCACGGCAAGACAAACCGGAATAGAGAGATGACTTTGGAGTGAATCAGCCGCATCTCGGTGGCGGGTTGTGCAGGGAAGGCAAGTGGTACGATGCGACCCTGGTGTAGTGAAATAGCCGGATAGTAAGATGCACTTTATGTCGGCCTGATTCACAACACCAGCTGCAGCAACAATACCATGATATCAGCCTGGGGCTTCTGACTTCTCATCCACTTTGGAGAATTGCTTCTTGAGGTTGTTTCAGGATAAATTATATTTTAAAAAAATATCCCCAGATCTACCATTTCCCTGTGATGGTTTTATTTAACCACCGTACCACCTCCCTACTCAAAGCTAGATTCCTCTCTGGGTCTTGGGGAAACAGCAGGAAGAGAACGGATGAACTGATACCTGTCAGGTCCTGAAGCCAACAACAACCAACAGGATAACTTCATTTGCACAGATCGGTGACTTTTAACCAATTATTAATGAAATATAATAGAAATAAATATTCCTAAACTCTGAATATTTTTTTAGATTCTGAGGGAGACAATCTTGAACATTTTCTTTCCTTCTTTCTCGTAATGCAACAGAAGTGCCTCAACACGCCTCCCTCACCAACGGGCTCCAGATGAATTGGTCAGACCAGCTGGAATTTCTTGAAGCTGGGGCACCACACAGTTGGGGGACAACAGGCTAGGGGGAGGGGAGGGTAAGTGGGGGCCCACAGAAGGGCTCAAAAAAGTCAATTCATGGCTGTGCCCTTTGAAGTCCCACCCCTTTTTTACATGCATTGTGTTACAATGTATTTGGCATAGCCACAGAACATGCATGTGGCCTCAGTACTGAGTTTGGAAAAATAATGCCTAAAGGCTCAATATTACAGACAAAAGACCGGAGAGAGAGAAAGGAAGTAAAACTGCCGAGTTTGATTTGTACTTGCTTATATATCAACTCTCTATTAAAAGTTGACTAGTTCCTTCCTCCTCCTGTTTTCCATCTGAGTAACTTATGTTTCCCCTAAAAAATGGAGAACCATGACATATTTAAAAAAACAAAAAACAGAATATATTTACTTGCTAATTATTTCTTCCTGCCTATGAAAGTTCACACAACTGACTAAATTTAGAGTTAATCTAGAAATAATCTTTGATCCTAAAAACCACATCTCCACTTATTGTGTAGCACTTGTATCTTGGAATAACTAGTATGACAATCAAAGGAAAATGGTACTTAGTATTACTTATATTTTTAAAATATTCTTTCGTTAGTGATATTATCCTTCTTTGTTGCAGCATAAACCAAGGCTCGTCCTTAGGGAAATGTACAGTCTACGCCACAAATCTCTTAGACAAGCAAAGAGGCACTGCAAACCAACCTTATTCTCTACTTATCCAAAATGTATAGTAATATTTAATACTTATTATTTACTGTTAACTGTAATATTTAACATTGTTAACCTGGTAACTGCAAGAAAATACTGTTTGAAGACTTGGTTCCAGCTCTGCCTGCTTTTTTCCCAGCCTGATTGGAAAAGCATTTCATTGGAAAGAATCTAAGATGAATTATTGTTGTTGTTGAATTATATGCCACCCAACTCCCAACAACTCTGGGCAATTTGTTTTCAGTTTCCAGAGGGGCAATCATATTAATATGTCACAGTTCCCACCAGGATCATACTAAAATTCAGCAGCCAATCCTGAATAAATCCAGTATAATTTCCCCCAGTGTGTGTGTGTGTGTGTGTGTGTGTGTGTGTGTGTGTAGTT